GCTGTCTCTGGTATAATTAAATTGACGTTTTACCGAACCGCAATTAAATGTAAAAAACGAATTGTTTTTAGACTTGCGAATTCATAAAACAATTGAAAATTATGTAAAGTAAATATCAGTAAAAAGATAATTTAATTGTCAAGTTCATTACACAAAAATGCCTACGTACTGTATACTATTATCAAAGACCTAATAATACTTGCCTGTAAACTAATAGCGAAAATATAGCTGTAACAGCTGTATATTTAAAAACTTCTGAGATGGCATCGATGTGAGCGCAACAAAACGAGGGCAAACAATTAACGAAACGTAGTGTCGTTATTTAAACGTAAACGATGCACAGAAAGTTGGAGATACAAAACATCTAAAGTAGCAACACACGTTACAATGGCCATGGTCTGAGTTTAAAAAGCCAGTGGCGTGCCGTCATTGGAAGCGGGGGATGAGCCACTTCCATTGTATTTTCTAAAAAATAAATACAGTACATATTAATTTTAATTATGCGAAAATAATCGCATAATATTTTATTATAACCGCATTATGTATCTTATTACAAATTTCNATACCCCGACTTACGCGAATTCGACTTACACGGTTATCGCTCGGTCCCACCTATCGCGTAAGTCCGGGGTATGACTGTAATTAGAAATATATAAACATTTATATAAGAAAATGTTATAACAGATGGCGCCACATACAATTTCAGTTATTTCTCTCTCATAAAAGCCGGAAAAGTTACGCAACTCGTTTCTAGGCCTTTTCTCTATTTAAACTGGATTATTCAGCACGAATATCGAACATTCAACACAAAGTACAAGTTCAGTCATACTCGTACTGAATTTATTATATATTTGAGTATGTGTGACAAGTAAAATTATTCAATTTGAATTTTGCATAAATTTGTAGTACCAGCGTTAGTAAAAATTATGTGTGATATGAATTGTCTACCTATATACAGTATATACGTAACGAATACATATTGCAAAAGTAGCATGGGTCTGTGAGTCGGATATCGATCGGATATCGATGAAGAAGAGAACACGAAGATTATCAAAATCAGTCACGAATAAAACAGAAAATAATTAACTAATAAAGAAGTTTTGCTTTTATAATAATACTAACATGACGTTACGTCTTATACGAAGCGAGTGCCCATCAGTGGCCAAGCGGTCTTCGTACCTTGAACACTGGGAGTTTGGTCGTGGATTCTCGCCTTGCACGAACGGGCTAGCCACGTGGAGTTTTCCGGGTTTTCTCCACGTCTGTAACGCCTAAAAATAGGGGCTAATTTCCCTAAAAATACCTCTCGGAAGGCATTCTCCCTAGGCGGATCGCCCAAGTGTTGCGTTGCCATAACAGAACAAACAAACTTATATGAAGCAGAAATGAAATCTGTAACAGTTGCGCTGTGCACTGTTGGAGAAAAAAGTACAAGCTGTCTCTGGTATAATTAAATTGACGTTTTACCGAACCGCAATTAAATGTAAAAAACGAATTGTTTTTAGACTTGCGAATTCATAAAACAATTGAAAATTATGTAAAGTAAATATCAGTAAAAAGATAATTTAATTGTCAAGTTCATTACACAAAAATGCCTACGTACTGTATACTATTATCAAAGACCTAATAATACTTGCCTGTAAACTAATAGCGAAAATATAGCTGTAACAGCTGTATATTTAAAAACTTCTGAGATGGCATCGATGTGAGCGCAACAAAACGAGGGCAAACAATTAACGAAACGTAGTGTCGTTATTTAAACGTAAACGATGCACAGAAAGTTGGAGATACAAAACATCTAAAGTAGCAACACACGTTACAATGGCCATGGTCTGAGTTTAAAAAGCCAGTGGCGTGCCGTCATTGGAAGCGGGGGATGAGCCACTTCCATTGTATTTTCTAAAAAATAAATACAGTACATATTAATTTTAATTATGCGAAAATAATCGCATAATATTTTATTATAACCGCATTATGTATCTTATTACAAATTTCTATACTACACTGAAAAAAAATAAGATCGCTATTGTATATTCGAATATTAGTGGCGGAGTGGAAGCGCCGTATCGTCAGCATCCAAAAATCCACATTGGCGCACGCGCTTTACAGAGGACCAACCTGACCCGGTTTAGCCGGTGGAAGCCTAGGACCTCGGGTGGATGCTACACGTATACCGCATCCAATTCTATCCGGGACCGGTTAGCCGCCCGCCCGCTAGATATTTGGCCGCCCTCGCCCGATTACGCGAATCGCGAGTAGATTTATAACTTAACCCAACCGATAGAAATTTTCTGGTATGTTTTTACGACAGTTCTGTATAGTTGACAGGAGTTTTAAAAAATCCATTAAAATATTTGATATATTTATTCCGCTCTCCGATTTTATATTACTCACGGATTTCAATGTTAAACCAGTGATATTACGATTTCGTGTGTCCCATTTTTAAGGGGATGTAGAAAAAAATGTGTACAATTCTTGTATAATGTTAAAAAATTAACTGTTACTTTGATGCACGAGGTACAGAAAAAGCTCTAGAATTTATTTTCCTTAAATTTACGATTTATGTATCCGTTTGTCGTAAAAATTTGTCTTTCCACTTTTTGAGACTACAAATATTCGAGTACAAAGTAACCGGTTTCGACTTATTTCTACTTAAGAAGTACTGTAGTTGAATAATTAAGCGATTAGGGAATTGGGGACACAAAACCCTGACGAAAGAGCCGAAATTTTACTTAAACCAAAGCTTAACCGAACCATCTCTAGCCGAATACAGTGGAGACTGATTTCTTCGTAATATTAGATGTACAGTGGAACCTCGGTATACGTCTGCTTTAGAATACGTCCTGTTTGAACGAAACAAATTTTGCTCGGTATACGACTTTTGTTCGGTATACGACTTAATTCAATTATATCCTATCTATGAACAAGTAGCACTATCGGTGTACTACACCTGACTAGACGTTTTCGGTGCTACGGTTTATAACTTTGTTAAATTTCTTCTGATTTTAATTTGTAAGTAACATTTTATTATTTTTATTAATCATGAATTGCAAAAGGGCAAGGGAAAAATAAAAAAATGACTAGAATCACAACGGTACTGAAAAAAGAGATTGTTGAGAAATATGAAGGTGGCACGCGTTTTCAGGATTTAACGAGATTAACTGCTGCATTCCGTATTCCGAGAACGGCGATATCGACAATCGCGAAAAATAAAGACATTAGAGGTTGAGGCGCACGTTTTAAACGTGTAAACGTGTACGTGTGACGTTCGGCGCCGCTTTCCCGTAAGCCTAAAAGTTTGACGATGGTGTTTGAAATGTCGAGCGTGATTCCACCGACTATCCAAACACCATTGTCAAACTTTTAGGCTTACGGGAAAGCGGCGCCGAACGTCACACGTACACGTTTACACGTTTAAAACGTGCGCCTCAACCTCTGTATTATTAAATTTGCTAACGTTGCGAAAGGGGTTAAATCAATTTCTAAACAGAGATCGAAGACATTAGATCGTGTCGAGAAATTGCTTTTGCTTTGGATAACTGAAAAATAATGTGCCTGCGACAGCGTATCGGAAGAAATTATTTGCGAGAAAGTTAAAAGGATACATGCTGATCTCGTGAAAAATCAAGCAGAAACTAGCGAGGAAAGCGAGGTGTTTAAAGCCAGCCATTTTTTTTACACGAGAACGGATTAATCATTTTTACATTACTTCTTATGGAAAAGGTTGGTTTGGTATACGTCCTATTCGGTATAAGTCCAAACATCAGGAACGGATTAAGGTCGTATACCGAGGTTCCACTGTAATATAAACAGAAAATTTTCCAGTTCGTTGAGAGTGACCAAAAAGTTGTAAATTTTGGAAATTTCCGTGGACACTTGGTCCTAAAACGAATTAGTTAGAAAACAAATGACTATTAAGTTTAACATATTTAGATTTTTAGATGTATGGTGAGAAACGTTTAAAATCTACAACAGCCCTGTCGCGTCCTATGAGATATACTAGTGATGCCATAAAAGAGGTATTTGACATTGACTGGTATCGACACCCTGGGGATTTGTCAGTCTGCATGTATGCACGCTCTGCAACCGTCTTCGATTCCATCCGTTAGCCACTCGTAGGGAGCTATTTGACCAAGTGCATTGTTTTAAGATTTAAAAAGTAAAGAATATTTTGTTATTTTTATGTACGTTTCTTTACAAAGCTATATTTAATTATAATTTTCTTTAAAAGTATATTCGTATAATTGAAGAATATTTTGTATGTACCGGTACATCCACCACACATTTTATTTCACCGAGTAAGTTTTTATTACTTTATTTTTAATTTTAGCCCTTATATCGTGGCTAGCGATTCGGAATGTAATTGTGATATTAAAAATACATTTAGAGAAGTCTACGGTTTTTACTGGCTTATCGAACAAACGAATACGAATGGACCCTAGACCATCACTGACGCGCAATTAACTGATGCCCCTGGAAGTCGGCTTCTTACAGAAACACAGCTTCCCTATCGTCAAATGTCACGGCACGCCACTGTAAAAAGCGGTAGTCCGGCAGTTCTCAAGCAACAGACTAACGTATTTGTCGCTCCGAAAACTTTTCAAGCAACTACCCAAGAAACAGAAGTTAGATTAATACAGCTTTCTTTCCGTCCTGTGGGTACTAAGAGGGCCCTTTTTAGCAAGCGCATTATGGGTTCGGGTGGCCCAAAATAACGCAGCGGGTAGTGAGGACGGGGCCCGACATATTCCTGAAAAATTCCCGATTTTTTCCGGATTCGATCCCGGATCCCCCAGCTTCCATCTGGTCTTCTTTATAAATTTTATATTTAAATTAATCACTTAATAAAAGCCGCGTTTCGGAATATATTCGATCCTTTTTTTCTCTGTTTATTTGTATAAACCCGATAGAAAATTTCTGATCAAATGCGCTAAGGAATTTATCACCCGAGAATCCATTTTAATTCATTAATTCGTGAACAATAATTTCGATAAAATCCATTGTTGGCGAAATACACAGGGAAAGGAGGAAGAAAATAGCGGATACGTTGCGACATCTGGACGATCTGTATCGCAGTATCTGATTGGCCATCTTTAATTTACAATCGTGTTTTCTTTTCCTTAGCTGTAAGGATTGTCGCTAATGGCTGGAAATCGACATTTTTTTCAAATGCTATTGGAAGTGTGCTAAAATGTGAGATTTTGCAGAAATTGACAAGTAGAATTAAATTAGAAAATGGCAGGTTTTGAACCTCCTCCTTCCTATTGTGAAGCGACCAGACAACATGCCTCTTTGGGAGGAAATCTTACTTTTGTCGATTTTATACCTCAACCCACCGAATCGGGCATTTTCAACGTGAAATTCGAACCTTTTGGGTGAGAAAAACATTTTTTCCCCTCTAATTTTTATATATTTTTACACCATTAATGTGTTAAATAATTATATAAATCTTTTAGTTTGATTAATAATAATCATTTTGAATATTTCCTTTCACATTTTGCACTTATATTATGAGAAAAAAAATTATGAATACTAAAAAAGTGATTTGTTTGAACCATCACTTCGCCGCCATGTTTGATGTGACTGAGACCAAATCCAATTTAGAAAAACTTGCATAGTCTGTTCTGGAGGGAACGGAGTTTATTCGGTTTTATGTGCAGTAAAATCACGCTTACGTGGGCACGTTTCGGGCCCGCAACTTCCACCCTTGCCGGTGGAATGGTCGCGTAAATGGGGCTATGGAAAAATTAACCTGGGTTAACGATAGGATATTGAAATACGGAGTATGTGCGTATGTGAATGCGAACTGTTTGCAATGAGGTTCGTTCAAGTATGGTACTAAACAGAATTGTTAGTAACCGTTGACAGAATCGATACATTTATGAAATGGTAAAGATTTATTTTAATACCATAATTTATCAGGAAAATTCGGAAAAAAGTTATTAAACGGAAGTGCGAGATGTGCAGAAGTGTAGTTTTTATGTAGGCGTGTAGGTGATTTTCTTTACCGAGTGTTTCGAGTGACGTAGACCGGTTGTCTCTTATTTATGGTTATGTTTTTATAAAATATAATTGGATTTTGTGTAAAATTATTGAACAAATATATATAATTGTCTTTCTTCTTATAAAATTTTGGAGATAAATTTAATCTGTCTAGAGTAAATAAAGATTGTTTTATGTGAATGTCATTTATGGGCAGAAACTTTGCAAACTGTTCCAAAACTAAAGCAACAAAACTCAATTTTATTTAAAGTTTAATGTTAGGTTTTCCTATTCTGTTGACTGTGTAAATGGAGATAAATATCACTTTAGGACACTCCTATCTTGGCCAGTCAATTGAGTTTGCCAGTGATGATCGAGATGGATGATTTATGTTAAAACTTGTGCAGTTTTACTGAGAATTAAGGAATGTTTTAGTGTATTAGGGATTGATAGTGTTTATCTGAGTAATGGAAAAAACTTGCACAATATTTACAATATTATTTATTTGAGATCTAATAATTTATTTGTTGCATCACATCATGTTTGAATTGAAATTTATTTTAAACACATAATTTGTATTATGACAATGTAATCTGTTTAATTTCTTGTTTATATAAATAATTAAATTGTATTTTAGCTGTGATAAGAAATTTATATTATTATAATAAACCTTTGTAGAGACAGATTATTTTCCAATTTCATATATTTTCAGTTAACAAATATGATCATATTAATTTTATAAATTCATAGTTTTCTTGGTAATCCCATGAGAACAAATGCTTTGTCTGAATTCATATTTGTTTTACATTTATATAATTGAATTAAATATAGTGTCAACTTTTCTGCTGCTGTTCTGAGTTACTTAATTTATTTAGAATCTTAAATTGCCAAATTCTTTTTTCAGATATTCATAAAAGAAATTCTTAGATAAATCAAGAATATTAAAAATAATTTCTTCAATAGAACAATAATTAAATTTTAATGATTTTTAATACAGACAGCTAGATGGCCAAGGCAGTTAAGATGTAAGCTTAGTGCTGTGGATTCAATCTGGTTGAATAATTTTTCAGAAAAGTTTGGTCGGCAGTCTGTACCAAGTATGTTGGGCCCTATCTTTTACCACTCGGTTGCCTCCATTGTGGACCAAACCCAAGACGGGTATGAAAAAAAGCCCTCTTAGTGTCCACAGCACAGAAAGAATCAAAAATGAAAAATAAAGGGGTGGTAGCCTTTGATTTTCAGATATTTACATTTGACATTTGGACAACTCACTCTTCTGTAATACTTTCCATACCTCTAAGTTACTTTTCAGATGCCCAATTTGAACTTTTGTGCATTTTTAGCCAAGAAAAGAAATTTTTGGCTATCATGCACTGGAAAGTTTTGCCAGTTGTGATTTTGATAACAGCATTATTATTTTGGAAAATTAATTTTTACTATTTCACAACATAATAAAATCTATTACACACTTAAATACTTAACTGGAATTAAGCAGTGAAAGTGAAGTGTATGAACTGTATATTTCATTTTTTTTTTAAATCTAACATATTAAATATAAACAGAATCAGCAAAAAAAAAAATTAATTTGTGGTTTTAATGTTTTAAATAATGTTCTATGCATTATAACATATTCATTGGTAACAGATAAGATAAAGAGAACTAGAGATTGAGATTTAGGAATTGTAATTAAATTATTTAATTGTGATTGTTTTCTTACTATTTAAGAAAAAGTGACATGATTTAAAGAATTATTTATTGATTATAATAATAATCAAAGTTAATTAAATTATACATTTGATGATTTTACAGAAGTTTTAACTTTTATTTTGAATAAAAATATAAATATTCTTGTTATTAATTTGACCATTTAATATTAATTTATTTTGTTTTAAAAATGGTTATATTTATTTATTTAATGAAATTTTGTAAGTTTAAAATGAAGTTTAATTGTATAAAAATAAATTTGTAATATTCTATATCAGCGGTTTCCAACTTATTTTAATCGCAGAATTCTTTTCATCTTGATGAAAAGTCTGACTTGAAAAGTTTGAAATCTAACAATTTTTACTGATTATAAATAAAATAACGAATCAAAAATTTGTTTTTAATTCTAATAAAAATGAAAAAAATTTAAGGCATAGAAATTTAAAACATGCAATTGATTAGAAATAATGAAAAATTGCCTAATGTATTAAAAAAAAAACACTAGTCTTTCCTTGCAATCTATGACATACTGGTGAAACTTTGAATTCGGAATAAGATACATTATAGTAAAATTAATAAAGAGATAGCTCAATAGTGGGCTTACAGAAGATCATTGACAATTGTTATTATGAAAAAACTTTGTGGTTTCTGGAATTAGTACTCTCTGAAGTCAATTTCAGTATTGAGTTTTTATATATATATATATGCGTAATTGAACCAGAACACACTTATCTCAAACTGGATGATATTCAATAAAGTCTCAAAAAGCCTTAGATAAGTCCAGTGTAGAACAGTTTTACACAGAAATTATTTAAGATTTTTTCAAGACTTTATTGGTTAAATAATTTTCAGATAATTGACATTCTAGGCTACTTTATTATAATTTTAAAATACGAAGAATCAAACACACAAGAATACTGTTTGGGAGAATTAAATACAAGATTTGATTCTCCCAAAGAATATTAGGCTCAATAGGTTTTATTTTTCACATATGTGAGCCATGCAGAGTGTACGTACGTCTGTTATTCCTAAGGAATATTAATAATTTTTGAAACTTCATTTAAATAAATTTTATGTATATTTTTTAAATTATAAATTTCTTTAGTGGAACCCTACAGTTCCACAGAACACAAGTTTGAAACTGCTGTTCTAAATAAATCCAAAACTATTTTTGAAAGCTTTTTCTTTGTTTTAGTTGAATTTATGAAATATAAATTTTTGAATAACAAAATATTATTAGTTAAAATATTTATGCATATTATTGTTGTATAACTAACTGAATTTTCTTTTATCAAGACATTATGTAAATTTTTTTATTTATATCTGTTGTATATGATACATCTGCAGCAATTATTTACAATAATTATTTTGATAAGATCAGCATATACATTATTTGTGAGTCAGTTATGTAATGATCACATTAGTTCAGATATTTATTAATAATAAGTAAGATCATCCAAATACTTTTGTGATAAAATTGCCTTAGCTTAGTAAAAGTTATTCAAATTGCTTGATAGCATCTTCACATGTAAAGATGTTTTAAGTATAGAACGGAGGTTACAAAATGAAGCACTTATTAGCATATAAGTTTATTCATGCATAAGTTCACTGATCCTTATGGACAGTGAAATTATGCATGAATAAACTTATGAATGATATTGAATATTTGATATTCATAAAGATGGATATTTCTATATCATGGCTTTAACTCTAATTCTATGATGATGATGATTTATTCATTTTTGATTATCAGTAATTATGCCATTCAAAAATTGTGTATCTCAGCAATATATGGAGAAGCTATCAAATACATTTGTTACCTTGTATAATTTCTTTGGGACTACCATTTAGTCTTACATATGACTTTGTCAATCGATGTTTCCTTATATCACAAAGTTACTTACCATATTAGACTAAATATCCAGCAAATTTGAAATCTGAAGTGGTCTGGATTTGTGAACATAAGCTAAAAGTATACACAAAATATAAAATAAACAATGGAAAGTAAGGAATGAAATTGTATTTAACAAAATGTATGCCAGTAGTCACACTGGAATTGGTATTGTGCAATGCATGCACCATGGAAATGAAAACAAAGTGACTGCCCATCAAATTCAAAACACAAAATTCTAATAATTCTGGATTTCTGAAAGCTGGATATTTGGTCCAGTAATGTATCAGTATTTTTGTTATTCGATTCTGAGTCAAAATATTATTGAAGTTCAGATATTAGTCTGATCAGTCTTCATACAAAAGTTTTATTTTTAACAATTAAAAATTATTTTAATATATTTTGAAAATAAATACTCACCTCTATTCATCTTAAAGATAGATTTTATTAGGGAAAAACATTTGTTTTACTTAAAGGCATTTGTAAATTTTATCTTCTAATTGATCTTGCGTGATCCTTACTACCAATTTTATCCTCTGTTATATTAGTGCCAATGCCATGTGAGAAATTTTAATATTTTCAGAATACTGCCTTTTTTCATTCAATGTTATAAACAAGTTTTTGAAAACAAAGGCTTTATTGTATTTTTTTACATCAATGCTTGTACAAAGTGTCAGAAAATTAATGAAAAAACAAATTAAGTATTTAATCTCAACTAAAATAATTTTTGAGATCTTGATCTTAAATTTTTGTTGTTTTCTATAATATCTGCATTCTCAAGTAGCTTTTTGTAGCTTCAGTTTGGAGAATGCATATCTCTAAAGCAAAATAAATTAAAATTTAGATTTTTTGGAAATTATGTTAAAGAAATATTGAAAATTACAAAAATCTTTCTTAATACTGTAATGTACAGAAATAATATATGAAAATTAAATTGAAAAGAAACAACTGTGAATTAGAAGGAACCATGATAATAAACACATTAAAGAAACAAGATTTTGAGGGTCTTAACTTAAAATTTTGAGTATCCAATGGTAACAAGAGACTTACATTTCACATTTTAAGTTAAACATTGGAAGCTAGTTATCTTATGTACTTATTATTTGATGATTGAATATTCAATGTAAGCCTCTTGTTGCTATTAGATGTGAAAGTTTTAGTATTAGAAAAATTAGTTAAGATTTGGCACCCTATTCTTTGTCAAAAGGTCGTAAAACTTTCCTTATGTGTTTTTATGGCAAACCAAAATTTCTTGATTAGAATCTCCTAGACCAAAGTGCTTTATTCTTTAATTAATTGAAAATCTTGTGAGAGTCTTGTGTGTTGCTGTAAAAATATTTTTGGACTATACCAGGTATTAATAGTTTTGGAAGTTATTGATTTAACTTAAAATATACATAATATAAAGTTTGTTTTCAATGCACGAGTTGCTATACTAAATACAATTTTTACTTAGAACACTAGTTTTTTTTTATAGAACAGCCATGCCATTTTTTAACTTGTGACCATGTACATATTTTGATGCATACTCTTCTACATGGCTAATAACTTCCTTTTCAATGACATGGTACAGGCCTTCTATTAGATAACATTATAATTAGTTTACATTAAAAAATTATGATTAAAAATGTGTTTTTTTTTTTAAATTTATTTGTAAATGTCATTTCTCTTTGATAGTATTTCCTTGGTTATTAACTAAATTTATTGTATCAAAAACAAATTTGATCAATAAGTCTATGTCAGTCTGTCTCTCTCTATGATCAAAAATTAATTTAAATACTTCACAAATTTTCAACATTTCATATTTGTTTCCAGAGATAAGAGTAGAAAAGGTTAAGCAATTTTCTTGAATTTAACTGAATTTTATTTGCTATTATTTTTTTACTTTCCTGATTTAAAAGTTAAAAAAAATTAATTTTAAATATAAATTTAATTTTTTAAATCAAGAAATTTAAAATTTTATCACTAACTCGGAAAGCTGCATTATGTCCAATTTAATTAGCTAATTGCACAATATATATGTGTTACTGTAATCTGCAATATTTAGTGATATTTTATATAATGTGAAATATAATTTTTTTGCTTTTTAATCTTTTAGTATGAACATGAAATAGAGAAACTGAAACATTTGATGCAAAAACTTCAAAATAAATTATCAGATACAGAACAAAAATTGACTCAACAGGAAAATATCACAGTTCAAGTTGTATCTGAATGGAAGACTCGTTTAGAAGCAGGAGAAGAACGTATAAGAAAACAACAGGATGAAAAAGATCAACAGATGAAAAATATCATTACTAGGTTTGTTAATTATTTTAATAAGTTTTATTTTTATGGAAGATGATGATGATTAGAAATTATCTCACAGACAAACAAGTGCTTTCATATTTATTAATTACAAAATACAGAGTCCTGACTTTTGAATAATATAGTTGCATGGTATAAAGGGAGTTCCATTCCCAGGGAAAAAACAAATTATAAATGTCTTATTGTGATGGGAAAAGTTCTATGTTTTCCCATCATAATAAGACATTTATAAAGTTCTATGTTTTTACAGAGAAAGAGAGAGAAAACAAATATGTTACAATGTGTAATACATTATTAAAATTATTATATGCCTCTTGCGTTTTATCCCAATTTGTTTCTTATCCCTTTATTTTATTAATTAGTTCTCAGTAGATATGTTGTCGCAAGGATATTGTATTGAGTCTGGATATATTGTGTAAAACTCCAATAAGAAATCTAACTGAAGAGGTCACAGCAAAAAGTGCCAAAATGCATTTCAGATGTCAGAGTTGGATGTTCATATTATATTGGATAAAATAATGGTCTCAAGTCTGTTTGTATGATAACCTCTAAAATAACTGGAATATAACAGTAATTGAGAATATTATTAAAATGTTATTGAAATGTTAATTTTATTGTATTTTCTGTTTAATCTAAATTAAACAGAAAACACAATAAAAATGAATTTTCACAAATGATTTTGATGTCACTGAAACTAAAACTGGCAGAAAGTGTTGCCACATATCACAAAATTTGTATTCGCTGAAAGTACAGTAGAGTGTCGATTTTCCGAATCAATTGGGGACTGGGGTTGTCCACATAACTGATATTTCGTATAACTGATTTACGTACGAAAAAATAGTTTAACGTATCCGATGTCGAAATTTTTATCTGTTGCGTGTCGCTTCGCGTTGAATTTTCGTCAATGTTAAGCCTAACAAAGACTATTGTATCGTTAAAAATTTTTTTTTTATTTTGTACAAACAAAATAAATTTATTGAAAAATATAAAAACAATAAAAAATTATACTTCAGATGTTAATTTAGTATCAAAAACGTAAAATATTTGAGTAGCCCGAGANTAAAAATGTGTTTTTTTTTTTAAATTTATTTGTAAATGTTTTTTGTAAATTTTAAAACTTACATTGAGACAATATCTTAATTTTTACAATTATTTTTTTGTATGTAACGTTACATACTTTATTTTATATTTGCATAATCTAAAACATAATTTGGTTAAAATTACACATTTTTAAAACAACTATAGGAAAAGATCTTAGCATTTACACTATTCCTCTATAATTTACCAATAATGATGCATAAGATAAGTGCATGATAACAATCAAGTTTTGTCATACATTTTGTATTATTAAATATATATTTTATCCACTAATAGATGTTACTATTAATTATTCCATCAAGTTTACTTAAGTGAAACTAAAGAGCATCAAAACATGTGATCAAATTTTAGAAAATGACAGGGCTGTTCTGTAAAAAAAAAAATAGAAGCTGTGAAATAAAAATTAGATATAGTACAGCAAATAATGTACTGAAAAAAGTGAAATTAATTTATTTAGATAAAATGTAGTTGTTTAAACTAGTAGTTTTGGTTTATTTAATGTTATTTTTCTATAATTTTATTTATTTTGCTTTAATTAATGACATTTGTTTCAATTTTTACAATAATATAGTTGTATTCTTAGGCCTTCACAGTATTTATATATACTTTGTAACAAATTCAATATAAATATGATATGGTTTTTATTTATTTATTTAACGAATTAGTGTCCTCATTGAACAAGCAAATGCATGGCTATCATCAAATCCATCATTAGAAGTTAAAACATGTGAAAGCATAGAATTTAAATGTCAAGGCCGGACTCCAATGGTTGAAAAAATGACATATTTAGAATTCAACGAATATGGAACACGTTATATAAGAGGATTAAGGTGAGTATACAAATAAATGTTTTAGAAACATGTCCTTTGTGTATAATGGATTCAAACTGAATCAATCAATCAAAGTAATCACTAATCTTTATCTTCAGTTGCTATACATTTAACCTCAAAATGTTTTTCAGCCTTTTTAAGGTCATCATCAGTTAACATTCTTCCAAGATGCACAATTGAAATGCACACAACTGATGCATTGGGATAGGTATTTGAATTTTGATTATTCCATTGTCAGTAATACTCTTTCCGAAGTTCAAATTTCATTGAAATTACATTTTTATGGGTTTGAATTTTGGAAATCGTATTACTGGCAATGGAACAATAGAAATTCAAATATCTGTTCCAATGTATTGGTTGTGTATGTGTTCTATTATGCATATTGGAAGAATTTTCACTTATGATGACCTTAACAAGGCTGAAAACATTTTGAGGTTAATGTATAGCAACTAAAGATAAAGGTTAGTGCTAGTTTGAGTGATTGTCCTTTTGTATATTTTCAAAATTGACTTATTATTGATATCAGTTGTGAAATATGATAGTGTTTCTGTTAGCCCTCTAAGGCAAACACATAAACAAAACACACAGTAAATATGAAAAAGGAATTAATTTATTTACATGTGATTTTCTCTGACAGGTACATTTATAGATGCCAGCTCTAGGCCAATTGCAATTATGCTGGCAGTAACCCAAAACCTGATTATCAGCAGAACAATTACAAAACTTTCTCTATCCGACCATGACATACCAAGTTGCAATATTACAAACTTATAAAATACAAAAAAGTTGTAACAAAATTATTCTTACAACTAATCTTTAAGATTAAACTTACACCTAATATGAAAACTAACAGGGAAAAAAGTAGAAAAAAGTGGAGGGTAGTCAAGAACAAAGGTATCTAGGTTCTTAAGATGTCTGTCAATTTCCATTGTCTTGAGAGGCCATGTTGAACTTCTTATAACAATAACCACACTTTCATTGTTTTAGCTTTTTGTTCCTGATATCCATGATTACCAAGATTTCATTTACCTAGCAAGGAATTGTAAATGGTCAAGTTCAATCCAGGACCATTCACCACTTGATATAGGAAAAATGGCATTCTTTACCTCTTAGTAGCTCAGGGAATGAAACTTAGCTCAGTTGATGCCAATCTATCTTTCATTTCATCTCAGGAATTTCAAAGATTCTTTTATGAAGTTCCAATTTCACACATATACTTGGGTTAAGGACATTTCCACACTCCTGCCTTCTCTCTCCTCAAAAATGTCCCTTCTTCACCACATTTCCCTCAGGTAACCTCAACTCCTCAAATTGGTTCATCCATGTAGTGTCTCATACTCCAATAAAGGAAAAATTAAGAGGATTAGAAAGCTCCAGAAGGGAGAAAGAACAAAGAAATAATACAAAAATAACAAAACTATTAAAACAGATTATGGCATACAGCCACACACAATGTTCATTAAGAGAGAAAAATGCTAAAACAAAACAAGTAAAACAGTAAAGCTGTATTTGGGACAAGACTATGTTTCAGAGACTCACTACTAAGCAGGATCACTTTGATGCTCAAGGCAGGTCTCATTCTCATTCTCCAATCTTTGGTATTGCTGGTTTTGAGCATGATAATTCAAACTTTGCCTGCCATGACCACAAGGCATTTTTGGTGAAATTAATTTATCCAATTTTGAAATTTATCTCCATTGCGTGTCGTCCTGGGTTGAATTTTTGTTGATGTTTAATGAAAATTTCCTGTTTTTGAAAAAAATAATCTTTGTTATTGTACGTCTGAAATTATTTTTCATTTTGCACAAACAAAATATATATATATATATATATTAATAAATGTGAAAAGAAAACAATTATATTTCAGAAGTTAGTTTTAATATAAAATTATAATGACTGGTGCCATCTACTTTCAAAAATGTTCTGATGATGAAACGAGATATCTCGGGTCAACCGGTCAAGATCAGCATGTGGCGACCAGAGATATGTTGGGAATAACATGGGACAGGTAAATGGGTTTTTTTTCCAAAGATTTGTTTGACAAAATTTAATTTTGCACCATTTGCATTTCCAACTTTCCAACCAGCAATGCATGCACAAATCTTGCACTACTGCCTGTTTGTAGAGAGTGTTGCCATTTTGAATTTTATTTTAACTCGATTCTCAGTCCCCTGAGTACCGATAAGTCTGGTTTTTTTATGCATGCGTGATTTGGGCACCTAATTCTCTGTGCCAAATTTCAACTTCTGACATGTACTCTTTAATACCTCTAAGCTGGTAACACAGCAGGGAGTACGATTTTATAAACAAGACAGTCTTGTCAAAAGAAATACCTGAACATACTATGATTGATTTACAGTTAAAAACCACCTTAAACTATATGGATTTCTAGGTTTATCTTCTATTTTCATGATCATATACTCAACTTAACCGCTAAATCTTTGTCAATCTTTGCTAAATCTTTAACTGATATATTAAAAGGAATAAGTCATATTTCTGTGTTTTTTTACTCCTTTGAAAATATTAAACTAAATTCAACACAAATTTCTACATACAGGGGTTGCTCTGTAAAATTTTAAAATATCACCAATCATTTGCCAATTTTTTTTTGCCATTTTAAATTATTTATTTCCACTAGTTTTACATACTAATTAATGCAAGTGCTGGTAGCCTTATCACTTTGGTGCCTGGAAAGCACATGTTAAGCTGTCACTTACAAGGAGAGGATCAGAAGTTTGGGTCTCAAATTCAATGAAAGCTGGTGAGCATGTAGTCTTAAACACAAAAATTCCTTGTCCAAATAATAGACCCACTTCTGAAGAATTTCTCAAAAGCAGGCTTCTGAAAATTTAGTCTTTTGTTTATTAGTCTTTGGAAAGTATTCATTTCTTTGAGTGGCAATAGCCAAGTGGATGCATTATGCACTGGAGTTATATGATATAGGTTTGAACCTTTCAAATTTTAGTTTAGTTTTGTTTTTTTTTTTAAGGGTAACTTTATTATTTTACCTCATCATTAGTATTATTATTACTATTATTATACTTCATGTTTAAAACTTACAAAACAAGAGATTATACATAGTGACATCATTTCCTACTTAGCAAAAACAAGTCTCTGTAGATTAACTCTTTTATGATGTTAAATAAAATTTTTATTTCTTCATATTTATTTTAAGATATGATAGTATTTGAAGTGTAAGAAACATGAGTGCATGAGGAAATTATCCATAACATTAACAATTTAAAAAATAAAATACTGCAACTATCTACTCTATTTTCATATCAGACTTGTCTTTTTTGTCCATATGCAGTTATGTCTGAAGCTTATTTGCTTGTGAGGACATGTATGTAAAATATGTGAAAATAAATGTGAAGAAATAAAAGTTTTGTTTAACAATGTAAAAGAGTTAAATCTACAGAGGCTAGTTTTCACTAAACAGGAAATGACATCTTAATTTTCAATTTCTTGTTTTATAACCTTTAGATGTCAGGAATAATAATAGTAATAATAATGCTATTGATGTGGTAAAATAATAATGTTACACATTAAAAATGACAAAACTAAACTAAAATTTTGAAGGTTGAAGCCATATCATCTAGTTCCAGTGCATAGTATTTTATTCACTTGGCTATTGCTGCTCAGAATCACACAACTTTCAAAGACTTATAAGCTAAACACCGAATTTTCAAAGATTCCATTGTTGAGAAATGCCTGAGAAGTGAGTTTTATTATTTGGACAAGAAGCTGTTTGTGTTTAGGGCTACACACTCACCAAGTTTCATTTGAATCAGAGACCCAAGCATTTGGCCCTCTCCTTATTAGCAATAGGACTCATTTTTGAATAATTTGTTAATGAATAATTCTGAATAACACATTTGATTACAATGTTTAAACAGTATTTTACAGGTTGTGTCATGTCAAAAAAGGTTCTACCGAAAAAAAGATCAAAGTGAAAAAAGTCACCGTAAAAAGTCCCCATATTTTCTGTCAGTTAATAAAAAAATTTCTAATCTGGAAATACCAGGCAGTATTGCACAAAATTGCTTTTGGTTCTCAATGTCACTTTCTACTTTTATGCCGGAACTTGCCATATGACGTCATGAAATAGCTAGGTGTTGGTGCATGGGACTCCTATTGCATGGAAACTCAACATTCTGCTGTTTTTTCTGATGTGTGATTTGCGATTCAGTTTTACACTGAATGTGAAAACAAGTGAATTAAGGTTTTTATTGCCACTTTAATAAAGATATCCCCAAGTTGTGATTTTGGCACTATACAGTGCAACCTCTGACATATGAACATTTCAAAAGTTAATTACCTCACCATTTTCAGATTATTGTTGTGAAAGCTCGTCAACATTCATTAAAAAAAAGATCCATTTTATGAAGGACTTGGATCATGATTAGTTCAAGATCAAGCTTGTGTAATTCAGTAATGCTTATTGGAAAATCTTAAAACACATTACCATAGCATTGAACTTGAGTATGTTGCTGTTTGCTGAACCATTATTGATAGATTTTGCATGTGTTCACTTGGACATCATTTAATCTGATAAATGATAATTTTATAACACAGCTTATATCAGCAAAATCTAAAAACAATTGCATTTTGCTGCATTATTGATGCCTCACAATTCAAATTTCATATGCAGCATAGATCCAGAAAGGAAAACATAATAGCTGATTAGCTTTTCCTTTTCATAATCCCAAAAATGTAGTTTTTGCAATTATTCATATCATATACAATGATTACATTGCTTTGTTACCTCCAGCTTATATAGGTAATAAACATAGATCATTATTACTGATAATGCAGCATGTGTTACCACTAGACCTACACTGACCATTAATGCAACAATGGTGATTGTTTCAAAGAAGGCATAATTTAAATATTACATATTTATTATATAATTCTGATGTTATATATCTGTAATAGCTAATAATAATATAATAATTACAAATGATGATATTTCTGATAACAAACCTGTCTTTAAAGCATGATCCACAGCTCAAATTCTTCATAAACATGGAATAAAAGAGTTCTTTATTCTGGCTTATACTCTACAAACAAATACTCATTTAACATGCAAATTGAACAAATATCATTTGTTTAAAGAAGAACAAAAATCATATTGAAATGCCCTCAAACATAGGTTACTTCTTGTATTTTACTTGTACTTGATACCTCATGACAGAGCTTAATCTGATATTCCCCATTTCACCTGTTACATGGATTCTTTCCTTTGTCCTTTTTTTAATTATATATTTTCATTGTAAAAATAAAGAAAGATAAATTTTAATTCTGAGAAGATAATATGAACAAAAATATAATTTGAATATTTTTCTTTCTTATGTTTCTTTCATTTAATATATTTGTTATAAAATTATAAATTTTTATTAATAAAATTTTATTGTATTAATTTTATTTCAGTTATAATTTAGTAGTAAAAAGCATTTAATTTAAACATTCTTATATATGGAGGGTGTGCTGGAGTTTATTTGCCAAATAGTGGAAATATATTTTACAAGTGGAAATGAGGTAAAAATGCTACATGAAGTTTGACTAGGAATGCTTTTTTGCAAATTATTTCTATGTTTTAATTAACATTAGTTTATATTGGGTGGTGGACCTATATCACAAATGCCTAAAGTAGCACATTGAAATCACATGTGCCAGAAATCATCTGACACATACGATTTCAATTTATCATCCATATTTTTCAATCATCTTTTCAGTTTATCATTTTTTTCAATCAGCTTTTTTACATTTATCCTAACTAAAGCATATTTGTTTAATTTCTTTAAATATTGTTATTCAAAGTCTAAATCTTTGGTGCACACAAACATCTTTAAAGCTAATTATGCTTACTATATGGCATGTGGACTCAAAAAGATTTGCCATCCGTGGTCTATGTCAATGCTTGTCTTGTAAAGCATTTTTATTTTATAACTTGTTGTCTAATAACTGTAGACATGTTTTAGGATTATCTATCCCCTCTTCAATATCAAATGGAGTATTTTTCTTATTTCTTATTAGTGTTTTGTCAATACATCTCTGCAAAACAATCATAAAAACCTTTATCCTACCAATAACCTACTGTACTTACTGATTTTTAAATGAAATTATTTTTTAATTCTAACTTTTTGCTTTTCTATTATCAATACTATATTACTGCGCTGACTGAATCTTATTATATTCATGGAATGTAATGATTGTCAACTAGTCCAGGATGTATAGATTCTGTGGGGAAAATGTATTACTGTCATATAAGAATATTAATGCAGGTTTCATAGAGAAGAGTACTACTCTGTGTTTATATCATATCTATTTGCAATTTTTTGACCTATAAATGAATTCATGATGTTCATGCTGCCCTTGAATAATGAAGAATTGCATTTCTTTTTGATAATACACCTGTAGAAAGTAGTGACTGCTTCATCTCAACTGCAAATGTCATGAAACACTATTTGAGAACATTGCAAGCTAATGAAAAATTTACATAAACAACACCCAGTTGTGTAAGAATTGTGCCCAACTGATTACTGAAAATGAGTGTGACTTTTGTAACTGGAATGTAAATGCAGTAACAAGTGAGAATTGTTTTTCATCAAGGATATGATGATAGATAAAGTAACTTTTATGAAAGGGCCATATTCAATTATAATAATAATGTTACGGGACCCATAATATTGCACATGCTACCAAAAAACTTTCAAAATAAATTTTGTTGTAATGTTTGGTTCGGTATAATTAATGCCCCATTCATTGCCATTCTTTCTGTCTGATTGATTAAATACTTTTTTGAAAAGCTCTATGAAAAAATGTATCAATTTTGAAAAAATATGTCATTGCTGTTTTTCCGAAACAGTTGAATTTAATTATATGGTTGCCCATCACACTATGCTAGACAAGCTAAAAAACTAGTTGATGAACATTATCATCATAGGTTACTCAAAGCAGACTGGTCCTCTAGCCTCTTAAGTCACCAGATTTTGTAACTCTAGGTTTTTAAATAAATAACTCCTACAAGCACACCGGGTTGTATAAACAAAATTACGACTTACTTAAGCCTGTAACCGATGCGAAATCGTAAAATATTAACGCACAAACGTTTTTGGAACACCTTCCATGTTCTTCCTCAGGTTTTCAAACTGGATTTTTTATATTCTGGAACACCGCTATGAAATTTTTCAAAAAACGAATGATGATATTTCGAATGCTCGGTGTCCATTGCGCACACGTTGTACATGTTGTGTTCCCGGTTGTTCAGAGTCCCATTCAATCTTCTAATCATTATGTAATTTCTCTTGTTATTCATACGATGTGGTATTCTAGCCTTCCACGTCATGTGTCCCTCCGCATCATTTGGTGTTAAATCAATCTTTACGAATCATTACGCAAAACGGCCTGCCAAGCGTATGAAAGAGCCATCTCCTCCCGTGTATTAATGCACTCCGATGAAGTGTGCGCCTTAAATATCTCCACCACCTCTAGCCATTTGAGATGGTCCATCTGTGTCGTTTTAACTATTAATGTTGCCCCTGCGAAGTCAACCATAATATCCGGGTCAGAAGCATACACCGACAGTGACGTGGTGGCTCTGTTGTGACGTATGTCTGTTTTGTGTTCACTCATTCTTACCCCCATCGAGCGTTTCGTAGACCCTATGTAAACTAAATCTCTGACGAATCTTTCATCCCTAACAGGGATCCAATATATTCCCGGCAATTTTATCGGGTCAGACGGGTCCTTCCCATTACGTAGTATGTCAAACATAGTTGAGCCTCTCTTGTAAGCAATGTAGACATTACATCTTTTGGCTATAGCTGTGTATACTGATCTCAAGATAGGGTTGAATGTAAGCGAGATCCTTTCCACCTCAATGCCGTGGTTGTCTCTTAATGTCGTCCTAGAGGTGTTGTGTGACATTAGTGCTTTTCCATGGCGTTCTACGATTCTTGGAACGAGATTGCGGTAGCCATGCATAACAGCGATGTTCTCAATGCATGTTAACTCTTCGCTAAGTGCCTCTTGTGTAGATGAATGAGAATATGCTCTTCTAACTAAAGTTTGAAAAACGGCCAATTTGTACTGAAACGGATCACATGAATCGCTCGGTATGTATGTGGGGTTTGCACACGGTTTCCGATAGACTGAAGTGTGAATGTTGGGTCCTTGAATCTTGATATTTATATCTAAGAAGTGGACATTAGTGTTGCTGTGTTGATCCACCTCGAGTGTTAGCCCATATGGATTATCATTCATAGCTTCCACAAATCGTGCCAAGTTTGGGGATGTTTTCCATACAACAATAATGTCATCTATGTATCTTCTGTATAGCATGATGTACTGCATGAATCTTGGAAGGGTCTTAGATTCGAGTTGTCTCACCACTAATTCACACAAGTCTCCGGACACCGGACTGCCTATCGGGACCCCTCTTGATTGTGAATATGTTGTCCCGTTGAATTGAAACACAGAACTATAACAAATAAGGTGCGCTAATTCCAATATGTTCTGGTGGAGCGATATGTCGTTTACTCGTGCGAATAGATTTTACGATTTTGCATCGGTTACAGGCTTAAGTAAGTCGTAATTTTGTCTAGGTTTTTATTTATGATATATAGAACTTTAAAAGATAAGGTTTTACACTACAGAAGTACTTTCGTGTCAAGATTTAATGCAATGAATTAATAACTCAAATATCAAGGGGCAACAGAATTTTCAGGAAATTTATAGTGTAATAAGTTTGGCACTATATCAATGTCAAGTTTGTATTGACATGCGAAGATTGAAGCTGGTAAATATGATATGAATAAACAGATAAAATAAACACATTTGATCTTTCATATTATGCAATGAAAAATCCATTGTTACTTATTTCACATTCTGCTTCAATATTTATTTATAATTTTGTACTCGAGCGTTTCTAGCCAAAGTTCACACACAAAATTTTGTTTTCTTATTTCCACTTGTAGAATAAAATACTCCTGCCAAAATGGTAGGTAAACTGCTGGATGCCCTGTATATATGATAATTGAAGTAGGTATCAATTTAATATTATTTAGAGAATTTACAATTTTGCATTTAACTTGATTAGGTTATGGGTTGTACCAAGAAGTGATGCAAGGCATCCTCCTCAAAAAATTGGTTATCTGAATTTAGTGCCACAGCCTAAAGAACCATCATCATTATTTGGTGCTGGACAGTTTAAAACTTTAAGTGATATTCTAGAAAAATTTAACAAATCTGCTGCAACTAATCCTCCTGGTAATTTTTTCTGTTAATTGAAATATTTATTTATATGGTATTAATTAAAAGATATTTAACTTATAAAGAATTAAAGTATATTTTATATTATTTTTTAATCAGGAAGAATACTTTCTATTGAATCACAGGAAATGAAATTACCTAGCTGGTCTAATTTTGATCCAGATCGCTCATCATGGACAGAACACGGTAGAGGTCAAACACATTTTGTATTTGTTGTTAGAATATTTTTTGAATATGGTCCCCCAGCTGCGGAAGAAATTGGTAATAAAAATATTTGTTTTTTAAATACCGTTTTATATATTTTAATTTATAATTTTATTCTTAAGTTTTTAATTTATTTTTACAATAATATTTAGGAATTGCAGATTTTGTTCCAGTGATGCTTGCTGATGGCGGACTTTTTTCAATTCCTCAGTTTGAACCTTTTTCTAATGTTATAGCACGAGCTTCCCAATGGTGTGAACAACAACAATTTCTTAGATTTTGTAATGCTCAATCATTAGAAATTAAAATGAAAGGTGGTAGGTTATTTTGCTTAAGGTTTTAAAAGAATATAACTTTTAATATTATCTAGTTATTATTTTTCATTGCTACAGGTTCAGTTGTTGACACACAAAGAATGAGCTATACAGAACATGGTGGCAAATCAACTTATTATGTTAGAGTTTTACGTGTGACGTATACAAAACCTGCCGAGTCTTTAATTATGGAAGCCTCGATTAGAACACCGGTTCTTCATTTATCATGTAAAACTTTTATACCATATCAACTGAATACAAGCATGTTTATCCCAGAATTTGAAAGCCTTACTCAAACAAAAGAAAGAATGAAAATATGGGTTCAACTTACAGGTAAGTTGAAAAAACTTTTTTTTTATAGTTTTTTGGTGATTTCATTGAGATTATTCTGTTTTAGGAGCAAGAATGTTAAGTGCAGAAACTGTTGCAATGAGATTGTTAACTGGTGGAGAAGCTACATCTGGTATTGAAGCGAGTTTCACTTATAATCCCGCTAATATGAACGAATATTGGATTTATATTATTAGATTATATTTAGACGGATATTACAAAGAACCTGAGCCGCATTTGCTACCACCGCCACCTCCAGTGGTAAACAAAACTTGTGCCATTTTATAAGTTGTGATATAAACAGAGCAGTAACTTGTCAAATTCTGCACATGCCCTATCTAATGTGAATCTCAAGATTTAAGTTTTTTGTAAAAGAAATTAGTATTTATATTTTTATATTTGCAAATATCCTTTTACATATGAAATATTTCTTAAATTGCCTTCAAAATAATATATATGCAATCAAATAAAATAATTAAGAAATTCTTTTATATATTTTGACAGTCATATGCTGTTATTTTTTTATTATGTATTGACAAAATTTAAATTTAGTTGAAATTAAAAATCAACTAAATTGTTGCACAATATAGAAGGTAGCTTGAATGTTAATTTATATTTTGAACAGTGTTTAGTGTATATTGAAGATTTTTATGAAGTATTTAATGTTAAGATGAAACAAGCTTGTCAGAAAATTGATAATATGAAAAAGTGCATGCTGTTGTCAATAATATAACATAATCATTACTTATATCATCAATAATTACTAATCATTTAAAAGTTTAAATTGTATTTTCTGTTCATATGTTGTTTTAATACAGTATATCAATGCATTATTTTAAAATTTTTATTGAATAATTATACACCATAAACATTTTTTAACTAGTAAAATGAAGTCATACAATAATAAAAATCCATTCTTATTTCACTGCCTGCACAACTATGCTCAAAATACATCTTAAAGTTTGCAATCGTAACTTCCGTAGAAGGTGCATAACTGAATGTATTGAATATTTTAAATATGATTTCCTTAATCTGATCATCTTCTGAAAAAGAAAATTATTAGATCTATAGAAAAAAAAGCTTGATATTGCTTATAACAATGGAAATTTTTGAATACATTTAGGGTAGTATATTTAATCTGTTGAATAATGTGAATTTTATTTTCTGTAATTTTACATTAATAATAAACAGTCTAGAATAGACTTTAGCTAAATCATTTATTTTAGCTTTTCAGAACTAATAATAATGAATTCATTGATAAAAAAAGAACAAATATAGATGAAAAAATGTTCTAAAGCAGAAATAATCTAATATGCATATATATTTTTAATCCTAATAAAGTTTCAATTGGAAAAAATACTTAAACTTTAAAATTGTTCATTGAAGTTTGAAAAACTGAACATTTACCATCTGCTTTCACATAATTACAAAAAATAATACACATACTGTACATTATGATAAAGAAGCAGCAAATGAACTTAATCTATATAAATGAATATTGTGAAATGTTAAACTCTCTTGTCTTTGTATATCAGAAAAATCAAACTTATCCACTAATATGTCAACCTAATACCCAATATTTGTGAAATTTCTCGCTTGTTATATACTGTTAAGTTTAAACTATGCAATGCTTGATGATTGAGCACCTGTTATAACTTTCTATATTTAATATTTTAAGTATTGTAGTATTTTTCTGTATGATTATTAATTATACTTAACTTCATTTTCTTATAAAATGTAAAAAGTCATATTGTGTATATGATTCATTAATTAATTATTACATTAAATCAATTTGTATATTTCATTCTTTGTATATTTATCATAGAAGGTTCTACTATTTAAATAAAGAGATCCATTGTTATTCATTGCACCAAACAGGTTTTTGAAAGAAAAGTCTTGTTTTTATGATACAGTAAAGAAAAAACTTTAACGAGTTTTGTGTATATGCTTTACAAATGTATTAAGCAGGGATGGCTGGATAGCCTAGTGGTTAAGGTGGAGTCTATCACTCTGAGGACTTTGGATTAAATCTAGATGGGTGCACTCTGATGGTAATCCCCTTTATCATCTGGCTTGCAAAAAGATTCTTTTACTGTTCACAGAGCAGAAAGAGTGGAGTAAATCATAAGAAGGGATGAGTGGAGTGATAAAAGTTTTCTTTATTAAAAATACAAAGACCTTAATTTTAAAATAAAACGATGTTTAATACCAATAATAATCAAGTAAATAAATTTACTAGCAATAATAAAGTAAATCTATTTACTAGCAAACCCCGCCAGGCGTTGTTGTGGCTCAAAATGTATCCATTATAAGTGTATAACACTTCCCCCGTGGGGGGGAATTTTTCGAAAAATTTCTTCTTGTACATTCTCTTGACGTACCCTATTAAAACGCAATCAAACACGCAAAAACCCGCATCTAAAATAGTATAAATAGAAGCAGAGTTCTTTACCGTAAGCTTTAATCCTAACCATTTTCCTTCAGTGGGGGGAATTTCGACACGTATATTATATAAAAACACGTGCGTATTCGAATGCAGCGTTGTGTCAAAATTTCAAAGGAATCGGTAGGAACAAACGAACATTACATTTTTATTTATATAGATAGATAGATGATGATCTGCTTTAGTTCATCTTCACAGAAAAGTAAAATGCCTCACAGAAAAGCAAACTTAGGGCGTCGTACTCATAGCGCCATCTGTTGGACATAAAGCCTTAACCATAGATGATGATATTTAATTTATATGAATGTTTAACGGAATAATATACAGCCTATGTCCACCCTTTGGTTCCATTCTAAATATTGGTGAAAGAATTTTTGAAATCGGATGAGTAGTATCGGAGATTACCCGCTGCAAACAAACTTACATACATACATACATACATACATACATACATACATACATTACCTCTTTATAATATTACGGTAGTATAGATTTATTTAGCTTAATAGAAAAACCAGCAACGAATTTTTGAACTTTCTGGCAAAATTTAAAATTTTGGTGACGCTCTTCTGTTGTTATATTTTATTAAAAAACTTTTTATATTTTTAACTATTATAAAATGGCAAAAAGCTTAATTTTGAGGATAGAGATGAGTTATCCAAAATTACCCAAATGTACATGGGTATTTTTCTAATAAAATTATTAAACTAAAAATTACAAATTAATTTTGAGTATTAATGGTTAACAATTAAATATTGATTATAATCAATAACCTAATGACTATATATGAATAATGATTTAATATGCTTTGACTTACAATGAAACAAACATTGACAGCTGGATGACTAAGGTGGTTAATTTTTAAGGTGTCAGCACTTCTCTATGGAATACAGGATTGAATAAGGTGGTTAAAAAACAGGAGTTTTTATATTTGGTCATGGATATTTCAGATTCCATCTATTACCACTCAGTCATGCTATGGTCCTGACCAAATCCATTATGGATATGGGGAAAAGAACCTCTTAGTGCCTCCAGAATGAAAATAATTAAAAATTAAAAAGTATGATTAATTTTTTGCAAACTCCAAATAAAACGATTGTTTATTAATTTATATAAATTATCATTTGAATTTATTATTGTTGGTTCATCAAGAATTAACATCATTTAAAATTTTTCCATAAGCACTTCATTTTTTGTGAGAAACTTAATTATAATAATAAAATGCAAGATTTTATAAATTCAAATTTTTTGGTAATTGCAATAAATATTTTAAATTAATTTTTATTTAAAAATTTCTTACAGGCGAAAACTTTTGTAGGTTTTTGCCAATTTTAATATAAAGTTTATCATATATTAATATTAAATTTGTAAAGAAATATCACAATTTTATTAAAATGAAAACTGATGCACTATGTAATTACATCAAATTAAAGCAAAACTTTTGTCAAATGATCTGTTTACTGTCAAGATCCAGAGACTAGATATGAAATAAGATGTCATCTTTTGCCTTACATTAATGATGCACCAGTTATGAATCTGTTAGCTTTTCCAATTGGTTACTTTGCATAGCCATAAAAGCTGACTTTCAAATGAGATACAAGCCATAAATAAAGCCCTGATTCTAGTGCTAATGGTGAATGACAGTGGTAGTTACTATGAAAAATATCCTATAAGGCAACGTTCTAGCATCCGGTCATGGCGCCGAGGAAAGTTTCGGATTGTCCAATTCTTGTCACGCCCATGGGCAATGGCATATCCAGGATTTTAAGATGATGGGTACTGCTTAAGGCAGATTCAGGGAATCAAGGCATGTGACCTATCATTTTCCATAGAATGTTACTAATTTAACTCAGAGTTACGTTAGTTACCATATGTTATGCTTATCATATGCTTTCAGTTAGGTATTATATTTACTTTGAAGTAAAATTGATTGCTTTGGTATCAAAGTGTTGCTGGAGCACAAGCACACCTTTGTATACGTCCTGCATAATTGTAGTTATTAATTAGCCCTTTTTAAGGGCTAATTAATAAAATTTAAAAATTAGAGTCGAGTCATTAATTAGACCTTAAAAATTTAAATTTTTAAGGTCTAATTAATGACTCGACGTCTAGTTCTTCAACATTAATGTCATTGAAGTAAACGTTTTTTATTTCACTTGTATAACCCGATATATTTTTTAAAATCTTCAAATTCTGTAAAAAGTACTTGAAATATTTTGTTAATTTCTTGAAATTTTCTGTATTTCATATCAAATTAACTTCAAATTTATCAAATTTGATGCTAATACTCAAGAAAAAACTAAAAAAAAGTCTTTTTTTAGTATTAGCGTCAAATTGAATGTCAGATATTCTCGAGTAAACAAAAAATGTGTATATTATTTGTTACAATAGCAACTGTAATTTCAAACGAACAGTGAACATACATGTATCCAGCGGTGCCCTCAGCGTACAAAAAGGGGGCACAAGCTATAAAAAGAGTATATATACTGTATATTTTATTAGTGTACCTGCATATATATATATATATATATATATATATATATATATATACATGCAGGTATCCTTTGATTAACGCAGTTAATTAATTCCTCGATGCTACGGGCGTATGTCAAAACCACATCAATCAAATACAGTGGTACTTTGTACTCGATCGAACAAATAATCGCGACTTTCTAGAACAAAGTTTTGGTTAATAACATATTTGGGCTGGAATTTAAACAAATTTAGACCTATAAATTCACACTCTCGTCCATCTGATGCTTGCCCTTCCTTAATTTAATCTCGATAACGGAGTTAGCTAGATGAAAGTGCTGACCCGATATGGAAAGCGTAAGGGCTTGGTGCCCAGATTAAGTATATACGAACATCCGATGAAAATTGAAAGTACAGTAGACCCCCTATAACGCTTACACACGTTCCACGTTATTCGAATTTTACGTTGTAGGAATCATTAAATACATGAGCCAATTGCAGCCCGACACGTGTGAAGTTTACGGACTAAGGCTGTTTGAAAGGTTTTCTTCTATAAAATTAACCGATTCTAGACTAATTCCACTCAACATTTCCAAAACACGTATAATTTTTTGGGAATAATCCGTATAAACTATGCTATAAACAAAAAATTGTAGGATTACTTACCGAGTGTGCACCGTTCGACTACGCCGTTGCTCAAGCTTGTTTTCGTCGCGGAACAGCGCACGAAACGGCGGCCGCGATTTCTGATAACGAATTTTTCGCAGAAAAATAACTTGACCTTTGGAGACATCATTAATATAAATAATTTTTATGGCCGTTGAATAAGAAATGTTTCTTTCACAAGAAATGTATAAAATTAGTGCTGTATTAGACTTACGGTACCTAATTTACATACTGTACAGACGATAATAAACTCAACTTACTAGCCTAAAATCTCCGTAGCGTGTTGCCAGGCGGCAGAAAGCATATATATAATTATAATAAAGTTACAATAAATTAAGTTAATATATAATTATATATACAGTACCTAATTTATATATAATTTATATATAATACTGTACAGACGATAGCAAACTCAATTTAGCCGCCTAAACTCTTCGTAGCGTGGCGCAGGGCGGAGGAAAGTAGTTCGGCTGCTCATCCACTATTGGTCCAGATTCTATCAATCTTGTCGCGGCACGAGTCAGCGACGACATTTTAGGACTTCCTTTATACGAATATTGCTACAATTTTTTCGCTACGTTATAGGAATTTCCGTTATAGAAACGCACGTTATAGGGGGGTCGACTGTAACGTTATTTCAATTTGAAAATATTCACTCGAAAGGAGTTAGCAATAGACTCATGCTGGTCGTCTAATTAACAAGTATTGTGTACGGGGGCAAGCCACTACTAATTTGAGGTAGAGAAAATTTATTTTTAATAAAATAAAAATAATGATTATAAGTTGCAGTCCAGCATTGTAACGATGTCACAATAAAACTGCTTGTTTTATTTTAATTTTGTTATCAGTAAAGATGTTTCCTGTGATAAAAACGAGTAACTAACTTAAAATGGAACCTTAAAACGGCCTTCAGGATTAAGAAATAGGCAACCCGACTACAAAGGGGGGATATATGAGGCCCCTGTATGGTATGCACGATTCTCCTCCAAATTAGTTGAGAGAAAAGTATTTAAACGTTAATCAAATTTGTTTTTCTAGTCACATATGTAAATATACTCCTTATTTTTAAAAAAATACAGTATTTATTCAATGTTCATACTGCAGATGTGTTTGTTTCACATGTTTCTACGACAGATTGAATAATGTTAATAAAAAATGTATGCAACAATTGATAATATAATATCTTAAATTTTTTCTAAGGTTACATGTAAGAAACTAATCCATTAGCTGCCAAATATCGAACGGTAATCTGCCATCAAATCGAATTTCGCATAAACAAGAAGTCAACATTGTACATGTGGCTCCCTAATTCACACTTGTACTGATTCAATAGAGCTATAACACGCCACTGACACTTATGCTTTTAAATTGTTAGAGTTTAGTAAATAAATGTCAAAAAGCGAAGATAAAAAAGGGAGTCAGGCGTCATATCTCGAGTGGAATCGAACTAAATAAACATTTTTCTAGTCATTAGTAATTACAATATTCTTCAAATTTTTTTCTGCACTCAAAATTTAGTATTTCGATATTTTATATTAATTATTATATAAAAACAGATAAAGCAACATATCAGTTAATGCTTACCAGGAAAGTTATCTAATTGCTGCATTTTGACGTTTCCTGGCTTCTTTATATATCAAATAAAAACAGCATGACAAGCGAACAAAAATTGATGCCCAAATATTTATACATTTTAAACTCAAAACTTTCAAACACTATAT